AATCACTTCTCCCAGAGCTAATTGGAGCCAGGAGTGAGCCAACCTTGACTCCAATCAGTGTGATGATATTGGATGTGTTGCTGACAGCTCTCCTGCCCTTAAAAAACAAACACCTGTTTTGGGTTTACTGGTTTCAAGAAGCAATGTCTGATGTGAACCATGCCTTGCAGAAAAGAGCTCTCAGAAGACCTACGATCAAGAATTGTTGACTTGCATGAAGCTGGAAAGGGTTACAAAAGTATCTCCAAAAGCCTTGATGTTCATGTGTCCATGGTAAGACAGACTGTCTACAAATGGAGAAAGTTTAGCACTGTTGCTACTCTCCCTAGGTCGTCCTGTAAAAATGACTGCAAGAGCACAGCGCAGAATGCTGCATGAGGTAAAGAAGAATCCCAGAGTGTCAGCTAAAGACCTACAGAAATCTCTAGCACATGCTAACATTTTTGTTGACACATCTACAATAAGGAAAACATTAAACAAGAATGGAGTACATGGGAGGACACCACGGAGGAAACCATTGCTGTCCAAAAAGAATATTGCAGCACGTTTGAAGTTTGCAAAAGAGCACCTGGATGTTCCACAGCACTACTGGCAAAATATACTATGGACAGATGAAACCAAGATTGAGTTGTTTGGGAAGAACACACAACACTATGTGTGGAGAAAAAAAGGCACAGCACACCAACATCAAAACCTCACCCCCACTGTAAAACATGGCGGAGGGAGTATCATAGTTTGGGGCTGCTTTGCTGCCTCAGGGCCTGGACGGATTGTTGTCATTGATGGGAAAATGAATTCCAGAGTTTATCAAGACATTTTACAGGAAAACGTACGACCATCTGTCCGCCAACTGAAGCTCCGCAGAGGATGGGTGATGCAACAGGACAATGACCCAAAGCATACAAGTAGTTCAACAAAACAATGGCTGCAACAGCACAGAATACGCCTTCTGGAGTGGCCCAGTCAGAGTCCTGACCTTAGCCCAATTGAAATGCTGTGGCATGACCTTAAGAGAGCGATTCACACCAGACATCCCAAGAATATTGCTACACTGAAACAGTTTTGTGAAGAGGAGTGGTCCAAAATTACTCCAGACCGTTGTGCAGGTCTGATCTGCAACTACAGGAAACGTTTGGTTGAGGTTATTGTTGCCAAAGGAGGGTCAACCAGTTATTAAGTCCAAAGGTTCACATACTTTTTCCTCCCTGCACTGTGAATGTTTACATGTTATGTGCAATTAAACCATGGCAACATCTAATGTTTGTGTAGTATTATGTTCAGCAGACTGTGTTCTTCTATTGTTGTGACTTAGATGATGTTCAGAGCACATTTTATGCCCAATTCATGCAAAACTCCACATAATCCCAAGGGGTTCACATACTTTTTCTTGCAACTGTAGCCTAATTAAGTTGTATGTGACATCGCATTGGATATCCCTTCAGGATTTTGCTTGCTTCTTTCCTGTGTCCGCACTGATAGCATTACTTTTGCTATATTTTTTATGCCTACTTGTCTACAAGTCATATTGTTTTGTACCTATTCTACCTTTAACCACTTGCCCTCCAGAGGGTTTACCCCCCCTTCCTGACCAGGCAATTTTTTGCAGTACGGAGCTGCGTTTAACTGACAATTGCATGATCATGCAACACTGTACATAAATGAAATTTATGTTCTTTTTTCCCCAGTAATAGAGCTTTCTTTCAGTGGTATTTGATTACCTGTGCATTTTTTATTTTTTGTGCTATAAACAAAAAAAGACTGATAATTTTGAAAAAAAACTATATTTTTTGACTTTTTGATATAAAACATATCCAGTAAAAAAAATCTAATTTCATCATAAATTTAGACCAATGACACTAATACTGTGATCAGTGCTAATAAAAAGCACTGACACTGTACTAATGACACTGGGCAGGAAGGGGTTAATATCTGGGACGATCAAAGGGTTAACTGTGTGCGGTTTTACATCATGTGCTGTGTGTGTTTTACTAGGGAAACATGCTGCTGAAATACACAGAAATACACAGCAGCATGTTACTGCTGGCAGGAGAGAGACCTGTGTGTAAACAGTATTACTTGGCAATCGCCGGGTGCCAGCTGGGAATCTCCGGACGGGACCTGGTGATCGACATCTGTAGCCACCAATGGTGGTGTGGGTAGGGCGGCATGCGCGCCCCCTACCTGGAACTGCAAATCACATATATATATGTGTGTTTTTGCGCATCCCTGCTGCCCTGTAGTGGTATTTCTGCTATAGGGCGGCGGGGAAGAGGATAACTTATTAAACAAAAAAAAGTGAAACGAAACTGGTAACTCTCCAGCACCTACAAATAACTGAAATTTCAGTTTTGAATGAAGGGGCTCTTTAATATGTGCTTATTCTTTGCATGGCTTATATTGTTAGTGCTGCATTTTTTCAGAACATGTTATAGTTGGTACATACAGTATTTGAGGCTATACGATTGTTGTGAACAATATCTAATGTACAATTACTGTAGGCAGGATAATGTCATTCTTGCTGGCTTTATCATATTCAGGGACAACACAGTGCATTAAAGAGTAACTCCATTTATGTTGAGAAGAAAAAACATTCCCCTCTGGGTGATCAATTTTCATTGCAAGGATTTTAACAAACTTTGTTGCAGATTCCTACGTTTTGTTCTGTACAGACAGCTATTTGTTTGTCTGTGTCCATGTGCAAAGTAAAGGAGAATGGGGTGATTTTATCATTCTCAATCAGCTGCTGCACTCTAATGAGGAAAGTGGCAGGGTCTGCATCTCTTCAGACATGATCTCCCTTTGGGAATATCTCACCACAAATGACATTTTTATTGCAGGGGATGTCCAAAATCTGATTTGTATCTTAATTCAGACTTCTGGGAATATCAGTGAGCCAATCACACAAGCAGGAAATGGCATATTTGGAGGGCATTCTGTACACCAACTGTGTACAGAATGCCTCCAGGTTGCCATACTGCATTGCGTTTTACAGAAAATTACAGTGCTGCAGATATAAAAGGAAAGGTACATTTTAATAACATCCAACTACAATATGACTTGTGTAGCGATTGTATACGTTATATTATTTTTTTTCATTTGCTACTTTTAAGAAAGTGGATTTACCCTATAACTGTTCTGAATGATAATACGTTGCATAGACATCATACTACAGCTCTCCTTGAACATTGTTTTGAATCTTTTGCTGCAGGTGAATTTAAAGGAGATTTGTTGTTTGACATCGGCCTTGGACCCGTCATTCACCATCTCTATTCAGCACAGAAATATTTCAGAGATATCATCCTTCTCAAGCCTACTGACCACTGTATTGTAGAAGTGAAAAAATGGAAGGGCAGCCGAACCGGAGCGTTTAATTGGTCACATACCTGTCCACTTGCTACAGAAACAGCAGAAAAGAGGTGAAGTATCTGCCAATTTTATTTTGTCAGTCAGGCTGAATGCCTGGTGTGATGATCCAGTAATTATTATATTATTATTATACAGTATTTATAAAGCGCCAATGGTTCGCTCAGCGCTGTACATTACAAAGGGGGACAGAACATGTGACAGAACAATACCAATACAATGCAAAACATGAGGATCGAGGGCCCTGCTCTTTCGAGCTTACAATCTAGGAGATGCTGGTGTATAGGGGAAAAAAGGGGAGTAGGGGTGTTTTTGAATGCAATGGGCCCATGGGCATGAAAACCAGTTTGTCCCCCACGAGCCTGCAACAAAGGAGACTCCAACCACCTACACATGTACATGAAAGAAATAATTCTGTTTAAAAAGTGGTGGGCACAGAGCTCCATGAAGAATAGTGGGTGCAGGGCTGCCAATAACAGGGTTACATAGTTACAAAGTTAGTTTGGCTGAAAGACCAAAGTCCATCCAGTTCAACCAAAAGAAAAAAAAAAGTTATAATCCTACACCCATAGTTAATCCAGAGGAAGGCAAAACAAAACAGCAAACCATGCTCCTGCAGGGGAAAAAATTCCTTCCTGACCCCTCAAGAGGCAATCAGATATTCCCTGGATCAACTTTACCTATAAATGTTAGTATCCAGTTATATTCTGTGTATCTAGGAAATAATCCAGGACTTTTTTGAAGCAATCCACTGAGCTGGCCAGAACTAACTCTTGAGGGAGTCTATTCCACATTTTCACAGCTTTCACTGTGAAGAAACCTTGCCGTATTTGGAGATTAAATCGCTTTTCCTCCAGACGTGATGACCTCAGGGTGAATAACTCTATAAATATTTATACATGGTGATCATACCCCCCCCTTAATCTCCTCTTCTCAAGAATAAATTCAGTTCCTCTAATCTTTCCTCATAGCTGAGCTCCTCCATGTCTCTTATCAGTTTAGTTGCCCTTCTCTGTACTTTCTCCAATTCCCCAATGTTCTTTTTGTGAATTGGTGCCTAAAACTGAACTGCATATTCCAGATGAGGTCTTACTAATGATCTGCACCGGGGTAGAATGCTATCTCTCTCTATCTCTCTCTCTCTCTCTCTCTGGAGTAAATACCTCTTTTAATACAAGAGAGGATTTTGCTCGCTTTAGAAACTGCAGCTTGGCATTGCATGCCATTATTAAGCTTGTGATCTACCAGAACTCCCAGATCCTTCTCCACCATTGATTCCCCCAGTTGTACCCCCCCCAGTATGTATGATGCATGCATATTCTTAGCACCCAAGTGCAGAACCTTACATTTATCAACATTAAACCTCATTTGTCTCATAGTTGCCCAATTAAACAGAGCATTGAGGTCGGCTTGTAAATTGAAGACATCCTGTAAGGACGTTATTCCACGGCACAGCTTGGTGTCATCTGCAAAGACTGAAATGTTTTTTTAAATCCCAGATCCTATATCGTTTATGAATATATTAAAAAGTAAGGGTCTCAACACTGAACCTTGGGGTACACCACTGACAACCCCAGACCATTCAGAGTATGAAGCATTAACCACTACTCTCTGAATTCTGTCTTTTAGCCAGTTTTCTATCCATTTACATACTGATTTTTCCAAGCCCATAGACTTTACCTTACACATTAGCCGTGTGTGGGGAACTGTGTCAGACGCTCTTGCAAAATCCAAGTATGCTATGTCCACCTCCACCCCTCTGTCCAAGTACTGTATACCAAGTCCACCGCCACCCCTCTGCCCAAGTATACCACGTCCACTGCCACCCCTCTGTCCAAATATACCACATCCACTGCCACCCCTCTGTCCAAGTATACCACGTCCACCACCACCCCTCTGCCCAAGTATACCACGTCCACCGCCACCCCCCCTCTGCCCAAGGTTCCCCACTGAAAGCTGAATGTAAAAGAAAGAATTGCCGGATATTCAGGTCTGGTATGGATTTTGAGGGGAACTCCCACACCAAAATTAAAAAAAATCCATACCAGACCCTTATCCAAACATGCAGCCCGGCAGGTCAGGAAAGGGGGAGACAAGCAAGCGCAGGGGGCTTATCGGAATCTGGAAGCCCCCTTTAACAAGGGGGCCCCCACATCCAGGCCCCTCGCCCCATGTGAATGAGTATGCGGTACATGGTACCGCTACCCACTCACAAAAAAAAACCTGTAGTGTGAAAAAAGACAGGATACAGTCTTTGACAAGTCCTTTCTTAAACGAAGAAAAATTAAAGAATGTCTCCCGAAGTAGATCCAATGTCAATCACGATGTCCGCCTGTTTGCAGACCCACACAATCACAGGCCAGGGTTGTGGGGAAGAAGCCCTTTTCCCCATGGGGACAAGGTGCTTTGTGGGGGGACCCCCCAAAGCACCCCCCCCATGTTGAGGGCATGTGGCCTGGTATGGTACAGGAGAGAGGGTGCTCGCTCCCCCTCTTTCCTGACCTGCTGGGTTGCATGCTCGGATAAGGGTCTTTTTTTTGTTTTGTTTTTTTAATTTTGGCGTTGGGGTTCCCCTCAAAACCCATACCAGACCCAAAGGGCTTGGTATGAATGGAGGAGGGACACCATGATTTTGTTTTATTATTTTTTTAATTATTTTTAATGCTCTTTCTATGCAGCTGAGCTGCAATATGTAGGTGGGGTGTTGTGCGGGTGTGGCTTTGGCTTGAGTGTAGGTGGAGACACAGGGGGCCCCAATATCTCTTATTGCCCGGGGGCCCCATGAGTTGTCAGTCCGCCCCTGCTCCAGATCCTCTGACAGTACAAGCACTAGGCCACGGCAGGCAGCAACACTGTGACTCTGTCCAGTCCAAAGGTGTGCAACCAATCTCTCTGCACTCTGGTACTAACCGCTCCCCGCTCCAAAGCAGCACAGTCTCTAAACAATCTCCACAGCTCTCTCTCTCACTCAACTGCAACAATCCTCCTCCTTACACACTGGCAGCTAACTCCCCACTGCCCCCCTCTCCTCCCCCGGTTTCAAGCATATTGAGTTTTGTAGTCTCCTGTGCCTGTATTAGTAGTGGCATCCCATGTGGCTGGAACTATATTTCCCAGGGTTCAGTGCTCTACCTGAGAATGAGTCCACAGAGCTCCAGCCTGTGGTAGAAAAAGGGAACTTCAAGAATGTTAACTACAGTATGACCATTCATTATAAATCCTGCACATTTCAGTTACAATGGATCTTGTTCAGGGGCGGACTGACAACTCATGGGGCCCCCAGGCAATAGGGGATCATGGGGAACTGTGTCCTTTCCCAAACTCAAAAAAGTATATGAAAAAGGTACCTGGGGCATCTCATGGGGCCCCCTACTGACCCCGGGCCCTCGGGCAGTGCCCGAGTTTCCAAATGGTCAGTCTGCCCCTGGTCTTGTTACACACATTATGTTATGGGTAAAACTCCACTTTAAGTATTTATACTACAAATAGCTACAACTAGAAGCCTTATATACCCAATGCTTCAGAGAATATCAGTTGAATTTTGTAGGTGACATGGGATGTGTTTTTTTTTTCCAGCGACCAATGTGAGGACAAGGACATGGACAAGGACACTGGACTTAGGGCGGCAATTTCACATGTTGTAAAGTTCGATCTCAGTAAGGAAAATCTCACAGACCCAATTGTCCTACCACAAGCCGACTGCCTTGTGTTCTGGTGTATTCTGGAAACCATCAGCAAAGACCTTGAAGATTATGTGCGAAACTTCAGGAAATTCTCAAAGCTTCTAAAACCTGGCGGGAAATTGATGTATTATGGAGTTTTAAATAACACATACTATATGGTTGGGGGAGAGAGGTTCCATATGGTAAAGTATAATGAAAGCGACTTGAGAAGTATGCTCAGTAATGAGGGGTTTGTTATCACCCATTTGGAGGTTTCCCAAAGGAAGGCTGAGAGTGACCTGATGGATTTCGATTCAGTTGTGTTCTGCACAGCTTATAAAGAACAAAAAAAATAGGCCCCACTCACACCATTACTTTTTAGAACATGCACATGCATTTTAATCAAAGAGCATATTGCGTTTTTAGTGCAATATTAATGCATAAAGTTAAAATCCCACTTCTCCCAGGTCTTGATCCTGTTCATGCCGTATTGTTGAATGGACCCTCCTGAGCCCAGCCCCCCCTAGACCTAGGGGACCTCTCCAAGGCCACCAACAGTCTCCTCAGCACTCCATCTTCCACCCTACTGACTGCCAGCCAGGCTATTCCATATTCATGGGTAGGTCTCAGCATTCTACCAGGGCCTTCAAACCTGGGATTGGTTAGACTCCCATAAACATGCAGATTAGGTCTCCCCCCCTTTCTCCTAATGGCTTCTGGAAAGTTCTATGGTCCTCCAGAGCCAGGTGGATGTGATAGAATCCCAACCTGTTAAACCATACAGCTAGACCTGCAGTAACCCAACCTCAATCATAGACACACACAGTTACCATGACTCATACACAATAAATTTACCTATAATACACTACACTAGTAGCTCACTAGAGGGTGCTACATAGAGCTTTCATGTGCTTCTAGCATACTGTAGGATATTAATAATAGGCAGTCAGCATCACAGAAAGTTCCAAAATAATAGAGGTCATAAATTGTATTGATTAAATAAGGGTAAAAACAGGCCTGCAGGAATAGCTGATATGTTTCAGCCTAAATTGTCTTCGCTATAGCTACCGGCTGGACTCTGCCATAGTCAATTGTGCATTTAATGGATTATGGCAGAATCTAGCATGCTGTGATCCTGCATTGTAGAGCATGTAAAGCCTTGTTCACATGGGCATTCTTAATTACTCACCAGTGTGAGGGCCATGTTTTTCTTGCATGGGATGCACAGGTGTTCCATGCATCCACATGCAGGCAGTCCTGTTCATGTCTATTGGGAGGCAATAACTGCACAGACACAGCCACTGCTCCTAATTTGACATCTGTGTGGTGCCGGTGTGTCCATACCCATGAACCCTTAGCTATCAACCGGAACTCAAAAACATATTTCACTGTGTCACCTATTTACTGATCAAAGCGTTGATGCAATCCTCTGGACATAGAGATCACCAACTACATATTTGCTTCCAAAACATAACTGAATTTTCATGCCGACATAAACAAGCTGTGGCCTTTGTTAGCTAGGCAGGCTGCTGTAAAGAAAATGTCTGAAACATGTTTGCTTTTATGATTGATTTTTCAGCTAAAAAAAATAAAAATTAAAATATTCTGATTTCAGAACCTTTATTTGTGGTGCTACTGGACCTTGACTTACCCATTCTTTTTAATGAAAAGGAACACTCAATTCATTTTCATTAACCCCGCCCTTACCTACTTCACTTTTTTATATTTATGACTGATTTTCTTTTTACTGCTCATGTATACCTGTTCTATTTTTGGCCATTTTGCTTATTCATTTTTGTAGTTTCACCTCACATAAATATCCAATACAATTAAAAAAAATGTTTCATGTACATAGTTCTTGTTCTTCTTCAACCCTATCTAAGTTCTCAAAAAAACCACAAAGGCAACACCCCTAGACTGGTCACTGAAGAAACATGTGAATTAACTTTTATACCTGGGTGCGGGGCAAAGCTTGTGGGAAAACCTGGACAGTATTCCTGCGTCTCCTACGGGAGTAGCACTTCTTATATAGAGTATTACTGAGCTCCGTGTGGTGAGCTTTTTCTACACAGTTCCCTCCCCGGATTGGAGTTCACTTTGGTGAAGATTGTGTGGATTTTCATGGATTGCTCAGAAATTTTACTATTACTGATATTACATGCTGATACTCATTAGCTATCTGGTGAGTGCATAAAAGGTGGAGGATAAACAACACTTTCTTCATCTCTTGCACAGTTGATCATTGACATTTTGATAATTACTACATTTACACCATTGGCTGTCTGGACGTTTTTGGAGAACATTGGTGGATCACTTATATTATGTGATGATATTTACCAGTCATCTGGTGAGTGCATAAAGGGCGGAAGACAGGGGCGGACTGACAACTCATGGGGCCCCTGGGCAATACCACACTCAAAAAAGCCTATGAAAGGTACTAGGGGCATCTCATGGGCCCCCTACTGACCCTGGGCCCTCGGGCAGTGCCCTAGTGCCCAAATGATCGGTCTGCCCCTGGTGGAAGTAGCACCTTTTACCTTCTACACAGTGGATGGTCTTCCTTCTGCTCACTGCAGTACACTATTTGGCCTTTTTTTTTTAACGGACTATTCACTTGATTATAATATTTAGTACACTTTATTATTTCAGGTTTGATGTTTGAGCGCTGCACCTTTTTGATTTGTTTTTGGTGACAACTGCCTAAGAGGATCAACCCTCTTCGACTCCCAAAAGAAAAAACTTTGGCTTTAGACATACTTTAAATTGTTTATTTTGTTGGCTGACCACAAGCCAGTCACCTGAATCTCAACTATAAAAACATGATGACTTGTTAGAACACAATATACTAATATTTGTTGACATTCTAATGAAGTCATAATATTTAACCACTTGCTAACCGTGCTATAGCCGAATGACGGCTACAGCGCAGTTGTCCAGTCCTGGGAGGGCGTCATATGACATCCTCCCAGGACACGCCCTCCCACGCGCCCCCGGTGATCTCCATGATTGCTATGTTCTACGGACACAGCTGATCACGTGATGTGGTAAAAGGCCAATCACAGCTGCCTTTTACCATGTGATCATCTTTGTCCAATGACACAGCAGATCAGCGGTAAATGCAGTTGCCAGTTATCGGCTGCACTTTCCTCACACTGTCACAGCATGTGGAAAGTACTGCTGATAACCGGCAATTGTCAGAGGACAGATCAGTACTGATCATCAGGACACTGATGATCAGTGCCGCCCACAAGTGCCCATCAGTGCCACCAACCTGTGCTCAGTGCC